CATGCTCCCCCCGGCCCCCAACCGCCACACATGCTCCCCCCGGCCTGAGCGCTCCGGACCCAAACGGGCCCAGCAGCGCAGCCCATCCCCGCTCTCTACCTGGCTGCTTGGCGTGCTCCTCCGGACGCGCCCGCCGCCGCCCCCCTGGCTCCTCCAGCCGTGCTGCCCTTCAGAGAGGAGCAGGCTCCACCCGCTGGCGCCATATAAGGTAACCCCTAAGGCACCGCTTTTGAAAAATGTCCTGAGGGGAAGCGGCTGCTTCCCCTGCACCCCACTAGCTACGCTACTGAGAACACACCCCACAGTGGCTGGCTGAGGGGGGTGGCCACAAACATGCTCCTCTTCTGTTCCCCCTTTACCTGCACCCAGCCAGTGTCCCATGGGCACACCCCCTCAGCGGGGCTCCTTTAGAGCGGGGCTGGCCTTAGCATTAGCGGGGCAGGCGGGTTGTGTCCCCCATTGCCAGACAGGGAGATGGGCCGGACGGTCATCTCCCTGGCTCATCCCAGCGCCTGAGGAGGGAGATTGGGCTGGCCCAGGAGTGGCTGAGCATATGGAGACATGGAGGGGGCGGGGACGGCACTCGCAGAGCCCAGCATCGGTTCCCTTGTTGCTGAGTTCCAGTCCCTGGTGAACTCCCCCTAAAAGCCCAGCTCAGCCAGGGGTGGATTTACTCCAATCCTCACGCTGTCCCCATCGGACCCCCGGGAGGGTCGGGGAGGCCACACGGTGTTACCTGTAGTAACTCAGGATGTTCTCATCATGAGCGTTGCCTGCCCGCGCCTCCTGCGCCAGCTGCCGGATGCTTTTCTCGTGGCAGTCATTGTTCTTGTCACTCCAGGTCAGCCAAACCTCCTCCTCAGAGTACTCGATGCTCAGGTATTCATGGGTCTGGGACATCTCCTTCACTGGCCTCAGCCTACAATCACACCGCCATGTTCAACAGGGGTCTTTACTCCCCATTGTATGGATGGGGAAACCGAGGCATGGCGAGGCAACGGGACTCGCCCAAAGTCACACAAGGAGTCAGCATTCCAGACTCCCCAGGCCTGTGCTCTGACCGTTTGACTACACTACCTCCCATCTCACACGGGGCAGAGGAATAACCAGCAAGGAAAGAAAACTCATTGGGTATCACAGGCTGGGAAGATCCTCTTCTAGACTGCTGACCAGGGAGCAGAACCAAGGGAGCAGAAGGCTGAGCCCAGAGAATCCACCTGTCCCAGATTGATGCTGGGTCCAGATGCTGGGAATTGTGGCGTGGGCAAGCCGAAGAAGGCCGATACTTTATACTGTGTCTTAGGCACTAATTTCAGGAGGCTCCCCGTAACAATGGCCCAGATCCATCCCTCTATATGTTGGCCCCATCACTGTAGTATCTGAGAGCCTCACCATCTCTAATGGGGTCATCCTCACAACCCTGCTGTGAGGCTGGGCAGGGCTATTCTCCCCATACTACAGAAGGGCAACTGAGGCACAGGGTAGATTAAGCGAGGTACCCAAGGTCACGCAGGGAGTCGGTGGCAGAACAGGGAATTGAGCCTGGGTGAGTATCCTGCCACTGGCCCATCCTTCCTCACTGGACAGATGGGGAATTGGGGCAGAGAGAGAGTCAATGATGTGCCCAAGGAATGGAAACCAGACCTCCTGAGTCCCTGGCCAAGGCCTTAATCACTAGACCACCCTTTCTCTACCCCCTTGAAATCAATGGAGCGATGCCAATTTCCACCAGCTGAGGCGCTGGCCCTGAAGATTGATGGGTGGGGGGCGGGGTTAGCTGGCCCTGAAGTCTCATTCCACCCTATGAATTGACGGGGGGGCGGGTCCTGTGACTCTCCCGACTCCACACACGCTACAGTCCCCCATGGGGGGGTTGGGAAGGGCCCAGCACTCAGGGCCGAGTGGCCCCTGGGATACTCACTCCGTTTTAATCAGGATGTCGCTGTTCTTGGGGTCCAGTACACACTTGCAGATCAGCTCCTGGGTGACGGGGATGGCGATGTGGTTGGACACACACAGGTCCGAGAGGTAATCTAAAAACCTGGGGCGAGCACAAGAGAGCCACAGCTCACTGTCAGATGGGGTGGGGTGAGGGGGTGGGGTGGGCTGGTTTGAAGGAGAAGGGCACCCCAGTGGATGCTCTGGCCTCTCTCTCAAAGCTATTGTCTTCGCATGAACCTGGACTGGGGTTGCAGACCTTATGGAGCTGTTGGCTTGATGCACAGGATAGGTCTTTGAGGCTTGGAGAGCGCATGCTCCCCACTGGTGAGAAACCCGGCTCTGGCATTCACACCCAGGAGGGTCCTCTTGCGTGAGCACCAGGCTCAGCCCAATCTCACCTTCAGTGCCTGCCCTTTGTCCGAGTCTCCACCTCCCCAGGCCTCACGACTCTGCTCCCATTCGGCGCAGTGCTGCTTTTACCTCGCCAAGATCTGCAGCATCCAATGTCCCATCCCCTGACAGCATAAGCCACCCAGCAGGGCACTGCCAGCCGCTGTGATCCCCCCGGGAGATATCAGCCCTCCTACATCACGAACACCCTGGAAGGTGCTTCCACCCCTCCGATACCCCCGGCCTCTGGAGTTCTGCCCCCGCAGGGCTCTGCTAGCCTCTCCAATCCCTCCAGTCCTGGAGAGCCAACCCCTTCTAGCATAGGTCACTTTGCAAGGCCTGCTACTCCCTCCACTACCCCAGCCTCTGGATTCCTCCTGTTTCCTGCATAACTCCTTCTCCAGGGCACTGCTAGTCCCTACGATCCAAACGCCAAACATACCACCCCCTTCACAAGCACAGTCTCTCTGCTGGCCAGCAACCTTTACGGCTGCAATAGAGCAACATTCAGCTGGTTGGACACTACAGTCTTCAAACACCAGCGCACAGGGGGAGGGAGAAATTGAACAGGAAAAAAAGAGGTTCCCCAAATGTCCGTACAGGGGTCCATCGCTCAGTGCACACAGACTGCGACAAAGCGGCCAAATTGCATGGCACGCACCTGGGTTCCCGGTTCTTGCGCACCAGGCTGACGAAGGTCTCCACCTCGGTCTTGGTGATGTGCTTCTCCAGCAGCTTGCGGTTGTTGTGCAGGAGGGCGGTGATGGTGTCCTCTGCCAGGATGTCATAGCCGATCTGGGATTGCATCATGCCGAACTGCTTGGCGATATGTTCCTGGAGGGGAGAGGCACAGATCAGCTGGGGGGAGGGGCAGAGCAGCTGGCAGGGGACAGGGAGGACCAGGACTAGCATTGGGTGCCAATGGTGACCCAAAAATACACCCCCAGCGTGAGCGACAAGTAGGGTGAGCAACATCTGGAATCGGTGCTCTGACACCAACTGGGGTGCCCGTCCAATGCAGAGACCCAGCGCCCGCAGATAACGCAGACCCAGCCTCTGGGGAAGGCATCCAGGTTCCCCACTGGCTGATTATGGTTGGGTGTGTGCTGGCAGTGGGCGTGGGTCCCATCCTCCATCCAGGTCCGACTGCTGCCCCCTCGTCTCAGACCTCCGTGAGCCATTTCCTCAGAGCACTCTCTGCTTCCGGCACCTATCTCCTTCAAGGGCTTCACCCCATAGGCCCTGCTCGCTGTCTGGCCAGCTGTGGAGAGAAGGATTCCCGCCCAGGGGTTCTCCTTCACAGTCAGTGTTAAATGGTGGCCAAGAGGAAGATCCAAGCTCCAGAGAGAGAGAGAGGACAAGGTTCCTGCCTGCCTTGGGGACAGCAGAGCTGGCATGTGGTGAGGAGGCCAGGGGCCTGGAAACTCTGTCACTTCATGGCCCAAGTAGCTGACAACTCCAGTGGGAAGACAGGGAATTATCCGTATGGGTGATTCTGCTAGAGCAGCAGGAGTGCACGGGAGTCCTAAAGCCCACAGCTTGCTAGCCAAATCAGCAACCCGTGCGAGTGGGTTCCTGGAGAGCAGATGGAGATGGCTTGCTCCCTTTTTGTGATATGGACGTACAGCGCCTAGCACAATGGTGCCACGATCCCCGATTAGGGCCTCAAGGTGCTACTGCAATACAGATGACAATGTACCATGTGGGGCCAGGAGCTGCAGCCAGGACGACCCGGCCACTCTGCCACATGGACCCACCTGGTTCTTGCGATAGTCCTCCTGGGAGTGCCGCAGCACCCGGTAGCAGAGGCGGAACATGTACTGATAGGGAGCGTTCTTCTGATCCGACAGCTCCTCCAGCCGCACCAGGGGGCCTTCCCCTCCTTTTTCCTTGAATGGAGCTTTCAGGATCCCAAAGATCTAATCGAACACAAAAGAGGGAAGCCGGAGGGAGTCAGATTCCAAGCTGCCCTCCGCAGAGTCCTTCTCTGCTTTCAGAGCTGCAGCTCAGTCCTCTCCATTTAGTACACTTAAGGCAGCAAGATCAAGCGCCCAACATAGGGCTTGAACCCATAACCCTAAGATTAAGAGTCTCATGCTCTACCAACTGAGCTAGCCAGGCTGTCACAGGCATTTCTACTGTGAGATAAGGGAGTTCCTGCAGGCAGAGCCTGGTTAAACCCCCCCTGCTGCAAACTCAAGGCTGGAGAAGACCCCTTCCATGGTAGTTCAAGGGATGCAGTGGGTCCCCTCTGGAGACCTCGACTCTGATCACAAGCAGAATGAGTTGGACCATCTAAGGCCTGCGTGGAGATTTTGTGACATAAAAAAAAGCACCCTACATCTCACTGGGCTCCAAAGGAACCCAAGGCTGGAATAAGAGTGGGGCCAGCAGGTCAAGTTTAATGAGTGTCAGCAGAGCTGCGTGTGGGGCACAAGACTGATAGCTGTGGGGAGCTGCAGGTCAGGACTGATTGGCATCCGTGATGGAAGAGGGCAGCTTGCATGACACCAGCACCAAGTATACCCGCCCTCTGGCCAATTTCTAAGAGCACCTTATTTTAATGATCTTTCCATTGACCAAATTTGCCCCCCAACCCCAACTATGAATAACTTCTAACAATAACTATGTAAAAATGCCCCTGAAGAATACAAGCTGGCTGCACAGACACACAGTCTGCAATTCTCCAGTCTCTCTCTGACCAGCCCGTCCCCAAATTCCCGTTCCCCAGCGCATGTTTTCCCCACAGCTCAGTGAGGGTTCAGTGGCTGAATCGTTTTGGTTCAAACCCAAATCCGCGTCCCTACGTGTCTCTCCTCTCCCATCCTGCTCACCTGTTTCAGGATGTTCTGCTCCCGCATGAGTTTCTGCCTCTCTCGGTTGGGTTTGGTCACCATGATGTCCAACACATTCTGCCCATTGTTGGGAACGTCGCTGACGAAAAACACCAGGTCCTCCAGCAGCTGGATCACAAACCTGCAAAGCGGGCAGCATGCAACATCATTATTGGCAGCGGGTGCATCCACGCCACCTGGGACCTCAGCAATGGGAGGGTTAATAACCAGAGAGCAGCCTAGAACTACTCTTAATCTCCAAACTAACCCCCAAATGTTGGGTGGTTCATACAAAACAAATGAGACCAAGTTGGGTTTTGAGGAACTTACGCAGTGTATAGAGAATGTAACCCCCATAATGTCCATGGGGAAGTTATTCCCTGACCTCTTAGAGCTTGATTTATGCCCTGAAGCATGAGGGTTTAGATCCCTTATAATTGTGTAGAACCAGAAAAAGAATTAGATAAGTTCATAGAAGATAGATCCATCAATGGCTATTAGCCAAGATGGTCAAGGATGCAACCCCATGCTCTGGGTGTCCTTAGCCTCTGACTGCCAGAGGCTGGGAGTGGACGACAGGGGATGGATCCCTTGATGACTGCCTGTTCTGTTCATTCCCTCTGAAACACCTGGTGTTGGCCACTGTCAGAAGATGGGATACTGGGTTAGATGGACCATTGGTCTGACCCAGTATGGCCGTTCTTATGTTCTCATGTGTATTCAAACGAAAATACATAAAGAATTTGGCTTGGACAGCAGGACTAATATCCTCCCCCTTGTGAATAGTCATGAGTTTGATCATCATGAGTAGTCAGGACCCTGGTTCTCTTCCACAAGACATAGCCCTTCAGCCAAGTTTCTGGCACCCCGTAGTCCAAGGGGCTCAGCTTGTCTCCTGGCGGAGGGGTGGCAAAGGGGAAGTGGCTCAGTCTGTCTACATCACCGGATCGCAGTGTTTTGCTTAGGAAATGCCAAGAACCCACCCACCTATAAATAACACCACGCTATCACGGGGCCATCTCCCAGCTCCTAATTTATTTCTCTTGTTGCAAAGGAGGGGCTGGCACAGGCCCGACACAATCTGATTTCCTTGCTGTGCCCCTGGGGAGGAGCAGGCTTGTAATCAGGCCACTGGCAGGGAGGCTCTAGGCTGAGAGCCATGGTATGCCATGAGTAACAGAGATACGGCCCGGCCCACGGACCCTGCCACCACCCGGCACCGGAGGGCAGGCTGCATTCTAGCAGCACTCTGCAAGAATTGCATGCTTCATTGCTTATTGTAGGCTGGATATCCAACTAGGCCCCACCCCCACCCCCCACCACATCCCTTCTGCATCCCGAGTGACCACTTGGTCAGGATACAGGGGCGGGGGTGGGGGGGGGAAGGCCTGGCCACAGTAGGGGTGACGGGACCAGCTGAGGGCGAGAGGCCTGGCAGGGGGGGCTGGCCAGTGTTGGGGGCTGAGATGCCTTGCTGGGGGTGATCTCAATTGGAATGGAGACTAGGGAGCCTCCCTGGAGGACCCAGCTAACTGGCTTGGAGAGGCAAGAGGCTTCCAGCAGCATAATTTCCACCAAAGTCAGGCCCCCAGAGTGTCCATTTGGTACTGCAGGCAGAGGAAGATCTCTGGCACCCTAACTCTACTCCCTAACTCTGTGCTCACTGCCTCACCCCTGCACCAGAGTGACTCTGCTCCCCTCCCACAGACATCTGGGAGGCGATGTGACCAAACAGTGATCTGAGTGGAAATCAGGCTTTCCTGGGTTTCACCAAAATCCACAGGGCTCAGCACACTGGAGCCTCCGATGCTCCCTGAGACTCATCGGATGCAATGTTCAAAAGTCACCACGTTACAGACAGACAGAGGTGCCTTTGAGTTGAGCATGGGCCTGGCTTTGCTTGGCCAATGGTCAGAAGCACTGCTGGGTTTGTTACCTGCGGTCGTTCTGGCTGATGAAGCCCTCGTTCATCTTCTCCACCACGTTGGCCAGCATGTAGCTGGCATCATTGGCAAAATCCAGGTCCCGGATTTCTGACACTGGCACAGAGACAATGGCAAAAGCTTCTTTGTCCTCCTTGGTGGGGCAAGTGCCAAGCTGAAAAAGAGAACCCAGTGTCACCCCTTACCACAACCCGCTTCAGCTCCAGCGAGAGCATCTGCTGCAGGGTCAGATACACACGGGCACCTTCTCAACACTTTACCCACTACAACGCTGGGCTCCGGGTATACCCCCCCCCCCCCACACACACACTGCTATCTACCACCACCACAGCACCTTTACTCCATCCATGGTGGGATGAATGACCCACCCTACCCCCTCCCTACCTCATGGCTACTATCAGCTATTGCATTGGACAGCTAAGTTGGGTTCTAGGTTGCTTTGGTTGGGTTCTAGGTTGCTTTGGTCCTCCTGATGATGATCAAGAGCCCACAGGGACACGAACTCTGAATTCTAAGAGCTCATAAGACCCTGCAGCCAAGCTGTGACCAAGCGTGGGACGTACCATGAGACGAATGGGTCTCTCTTCATCGATGTCAATGGGCACGTCAGTGCTCTGGATCCAAGTGTTCGTACAGAGGTGGCGCAGCCTCACGTAGGAGTTCCTGAAAACGGTACAATGAAGGTTCTGTTCCTATTGCGCTTTCCATCCAGAAAGGCGCGGAAGCACTTTCCAGATGCGCAGATGGGAATCACGTCAAACTTCCCTGTGCTGAAATGCAGCCACCTCTGAGGTGGGACACGACAGTCATTCTGCACCAGCAAGCCTACAGAACACGATTTGGGGCAGGAGAGAAACAAAGCAATTCCTGCAGGGGAATTAGGGGAGTTGACACAGTCACCCAAGCAGGAATCGAGCCAGGACCCCATGGTGGCGCTACTGCTTTTCCAACACACAGCAGCTCCAGCCACGCAGTCCCCACCAGTCAGCTGGCTCAGCGAGAACAGGGCCACCTACACTTTCCCTTAGAGGTCCCCCAGGCAAGAGTGGACCAGGTTTCAGTGCTAGGCTTTCAGGTTGTGTGACGGCTACTCCATGCTCCCTTCCTTGATCCCAAATCTTCCCCCCTTCTGAAGCAGCCCAGCCTCCATGAGACTGCGCCCAACTGGCGAACTAGCTCTGAATTCCCACCAGGCCATGAAGCTGACTGAATCGGTGAGGTTTCACAGTGGACCCGGGCATCCCCGCGTACCGAGGGACGAAGGAATCCGTCTTCTGCAGCGTGGTGGGGTCCAACTCAAAGAGGGAGGCGATGTCATTCCCATGGGGCACGGCCACCAGCCGGTATTTGATCTTCTCCCCCGTTTTCCTCCGGCTGGAGCGAATGGTCCCACCCTGCACCAAGGGAAGCAGCTGTTGAGTGTGGTACCAAGCGGTTGGACGTGGTACCAAGGTCCCCCACGCACACCTGCTCTAGGGGGAAGGCGGGTCAGGCTTGAGACACAGCAGAAGCTTCCAAGAAACTGGGCCGGGGCCTTGCAGCAGGAAAACAGTGGCACACACACATGAGGAGAGGATTGGCCTGCACCAGTGGATCTACAGAACCAAATCCACCTCTATGGCTTCCCAAAGGCACTTGGTAAATGGGGTAAAAGAACCCCTCTGCCACAGGGCTAGGAAGTCGTCTCTCTTCTACCACCACCTCATCTGCACGCCCTTCCAGCACGCTCTGAGCTGTGCGAAACATAGGCGCCGACTTCCCCTCTGCCCGGTGGGTGCTCGACCCCACTCCGCCCCTGGCCCCACCCCTCCACTGCCCGCGTCCTGCCCCCATTCCACCCCTTCCCCAAAGTCCCCCCCTTCCCGCCCCATTCCATCCCCTTCCCCCAAGTCCCCATCCATTCTCCACCTCCTCCCCGAGCGTGCCACGTCCCCGCTCCTCCCCCTCCCTCCCGGAACGTCCTAAGCGTCGCCAAACAACTGTTAGGCGGAGGGGGTGGGGGGCAGGAAGTGCTGGGAGGGAGGGGGAGGAGCAGGGATGCGGTGCACTCGGGATGGGGAGGAGGCGAGGCAGGGGCGGAGGGAGCTTGGCTGCCGGTGGGTGCGGAGCACCCGCTAATTTTTCCCCGTGGGTGCTCCAGCCCCGGAGCACCCACGGAGTCGGCGCCTATGGTGCGAACCCTCCAGGCAGTTAGATTCCAACCAGATGTAATAACACCTGCTGGGGGTGCACTCGGGACACTTGGCCAGTGTGCTACACGGAGATACCTCATGGAGCAGGTACGTTGAGCAAGGCACCCTTCCAACACTGCCATGAGCACCACACCCACCAGAGCACAATGCCC